TACCTACATATATTTATATTAATATTTTACATCATATTGTTATTTTAATGTGTTGGCAATAGTGTGTTTTATAGTTGTTGGTGTTAAAATACAAGAGTGTGTGAGTGTGATTTCTGTTTGGCTGTGTGACTATGGCTTGAATGTAGTGTTTTATGATGTTGTTTAACACGTATTAATTACAAATGCAAATAAAAGGGTTCTAATGTTCTTCAACAACCACAGCCACATCCCCAGCCACAACTACAGACACAACGCAAATAAACAAACGAGAGCTGCTAACTTTGACACAGCACACATTTCAAAGGTGGCTGGCTCAGTTAGGTGCGTGCAAATTAACGTGAAATTCCATTAGTTTGGGTCTCGTTGCCGTTGAAACAATGCCATAAAGAAGCGAACGTGTAAATGTATGCAAATTAGCTGAGTGTTATAAAGTGTCACATGATTAGTGGCAGTGGGAATACATTTATGACTCATAAATATCATAGAGCACACGAAAGTGGTTTTGCACCAAACGCAAGACTTCCGGTGAGTACAGCTACTTCTCCTTTTCTCTTGCTCTCGACTCGATTCCATTCCTGGGCCATTTTCTAGATCCGTCATTTATTTTGCATTGAAAACTTATACCTACTTGACATTTCAACGAGAATAAGAATTTATCAATTTCCTTGGGCAAATAATAAAATTACGACACGGACATGTCCGCTCAAGTGGAAAGCAGCTCGAAAAAAAACGCTCGCAATTACAATCCAATGGCAAGCTCTAACTGAATGAATTCATTTCAATTTCGCTGTAGCATGTTTTAATTATTCACTTCGAAGTTGGACTTTCATGTCGAAGTAAGAAAATTAATGCGAAAAGGAGCGAAAGAAAAAAAGTAACACTGCCTAAAGTGGTAATGGATATTGACACATTTCCTTTCGTTTGTTTGCTTGCTTGCTTGCTTGGCAGAGGCTTTGCTTGGCCGCTACAACATTTCACGAAGCGGAGAAGAAAGCAAACTTCATTATTATTACTGTACAAGTTGCACAAGAAGCGGAGAATTGTGTCAATATTAATTTGCATAAGGAACCGTTAAAAAGTTAAAATTCCACAATCGGCTATCCGTTGGAAAACTTTTCCGGCTGTCACTTAATACTTACTGCCACCACAAAGCCAAATTGCCGGTGGCAACAACTGAAAAATACAGGGAAGAACAAGAAGCACAAACACTGCTGGGAACTGTCGTTACTTGACAATGGAAAGGATATTTGTCTAAAGAACGGAATTGATTACAGGGATCCGGTGATTGGTCGGTCACTGTAATCAAATGGAAATTAATGATTAGCTTCTAATTAAGATGAGCGTTTTTTATGTTTCTTTTCAACAAAACTGAGGTGTGGGGGTAAATCGCAGGTGGTAGGCTGGATCCGTCAAAGATATTGTTGGTGAATCAATTTTTTTTTAAGTAGAAGTAGGGGTTTCCGAACGTAGTCAAATGAAATTTGGAATGTCGATTTCATGGGATAGTGAGATTTTATTTCTATTTCGCTCTTAGAACAAACTCTTACTCCACTTCGAGCAATTCGACTCCCACTCTAATTTTTGCAAACAGTAGTGATTTGGGAGAGCTCCCACACAAAACAAAGGAGTCAACAGTGGACTCCACATAATACTCCCACTCTTCGAGCACACCCACTTGACTTTATTGCACTCGGTCGGAGTTTTTTAGTTTCGTGGCTTTCAGATATTGTTAAATACGAAATAAAAGATAAGGACTTTTCATATTAAATTTTTAGTTTCTGAAAATTATTTTTTTTTGTCACTAAAATTTCAACCAAAAACTAAAGGTGAATTAGAATAATGACTTATACTGTCCCTGAATTGAAATTTCCATACAAATGCTTACAAATTCCAAAAACCAATATTTTTGCCCTGCTTCTTCTAACAACACACCTACCTTTCTTGGCTTTTCAAAATGTATCTGTGTATTGTAAAGGTCGATATTTGCTTGTATGTATTGATATAATGTATTCTATTAATACAAAATCTCAATTACTCACTCTCTTCGATTGTGGTTTTTGTCAATTAACTTTAGGCATGCGTAATTTATGTACTTGTTTTACACATTAGAAGGCAGAAACACACACATACACACACCTAGACAGGCATCCATGGCAAAAGGGATCCAATAACAGGAAATGCAAATATACCTCCTTATTATGTATGGAAAACCACAAGACCATCTGCCAGAGTTCAGCTAGGCTCAGAAAGGATACTAATACACAATTAAAGTAATCATTGAAAGGACCCTGTAGGGGCAACAAAATAGCCCTTTAAAAGGGAAACTTGCTAAGAGTACCGACTCAGGAAAAATTACTGTAATTATTTGAGTATTTTTCATAGCCAGAGTTTAAAAATTAGAAAAGTGGCAAAGTCATCATCCCAACACTATATCTTTACTTCAAGCACCCTTAGAGGTGCATATGCGTACATCCGTATACAACAGTCAGGATGTGTTCTGTAATGGCAACAAATCTTTGCTGCTGCTTTTGCACCAATCTTACCACATATTCGTCTCAGCACTTGCATACTTGTGGCCAAGGCACGTGGTCGGTTGTGGAGCAGTAAATTTTATTTCTACCATTCCACACCCCGAACCTCCATTCTGCCATTGGAGGGTAGAGGAAAAACCAAATTAATTTTTGTTGTGGCTTTCAGAACAGCAATATAACAAAAATACCTTCCATTCGACTTGTTTCTGTTTTGTCTTCTCATTTTCCAGCCGAGAACTCGAAGCGAGCGGCAGATTTGCAGATGTCTTGAAGAGGCTAAAAGCCGCATAATGTTACACCTGTGTTTAGTCTGAGGATGTGTGCGTTGTGGTTTCCTGGCATATGTAGAATGCGGAAGTCAAGAGTACTACTACAACTGATGTAATTTAAATAATTACCAACAACAACAAAAACGAAAACAACGACGCAACCGGCACCGAACAACGGTGAAGTTGCCGCATCAACACTTTGCATATTAAATTTAAAGTTGTTGGCAATTCCAGTGGAGTTGTGTTTTATTGTCTAACATAATAGGCTGGGAAATTGCAGTAAATTGAGTCGATGTCTGGAAATTCTATACTCGAGCAATAGTCAAGTAGGGCGAGGCAAATGACAGTCTCCTATGCAGCTGAAGTGGCCCAGTGTACTGGATTTGGGTGTTTCCCAAAACTTCTACTCAGGTAAGCTCTGTGGATGGAGGTTCTCCAAATACAGTTGTTATTTCTTTCTTTAGGTGGCGTGCCAGCATCTATAAACTTATATGGCTGGACCTATGCATATATCTAAGCATCTACTATGCCCTTAATTTTACCTATCGCTTCTACATGAATGAATCACAAAAACAGTAAGTGCAGCAGCTGGAGAAGTCGTGATAGAGTTCTCAATATATTGTGTATCGACTTCTTTTCAGATTATTTGAAACAATTGTCGTTTATTGCTACAGCAGCATATCGTTGATTCCCATTATGTTTGTGTTGGGATTCTATGTCTCTGTCGTTGTAAAACGTTGGTGGGAACAATATATGACCCTGCCTTGGCCAGACAGTACTGCCGTCTACGTCTCATCGCTGATTAGGGGCCAGGATGATAATGGTCGTAAGATGCGCCGCACTATAATGCGTTATGTGTGCCTGAGTCTCACCATGGTATTGACGAGAATATCACCGCGTGTCAAGAAACGCTTTCCAACCCTGGACCATTTGGTCGATGCCGGACTTTTGGTGGAGAACGAGAAACAAATCTTAAAATCTATGAATGAAAAATTTGCCAAACATCCAAAGCACTGGATGCCAATTGTCTGGGCCTCGGCAATTGTGACAAGGGCACGTAAAGAGGGAAGAATCCGTGACGATTCGTCGCTGAAAACTTTGATAGATGCTTTGAATAGCTTTCGTGAGAAGTGTATGGTTTTGACATTCTACGATACCATGAGCATTCCTTTGGTTTACACCCAGGTGGTGACCTTGGCGGTATATACCTTCTTTTTGGCTTCAGTTTTTGGGCGCCAATGGACGGGACAAACAGATCCCGATGGTATTATGAACATTGTAGATTATTTCTTTCCCATATTTACGGTATTGGAATTCATGTTCTTCATGGGTTGGCTGAAGGTTGCCGAGTCACTTATATGTCCTTTTGGCGAGGACGATGATGATTTTGAGGTAAAAATCTGCAGAAATAAAATTAGTTTTAATGTTTTAATGCACTGGACAATTTTTCAGTTGAATTGGTTAATTGACCGTAATTTGCAAGTTTCCTATCTCATTGTTGACGAAATGCATAATGAACATCCGGAGCTTTTGAAGGATCAGTATTGGCAAAGTTTTTACCAAAAGCAAACTGGGGATCCGCCACTACATTCTACGGCAAAATTGGGTGAAACTGAATCAAGGAATACATTGCTTAGTGGCAACATTTTGGTAGCTAGTTTTCTTACATTTTGCCGTAGGTGAAGTGGATTTCAAATGTTCTTTATTGTAGGATTCTCTTACTAATTTCTTTTTGAAGCGTGGCAGCAAAACAAATTCACAATATGATGAAAATGTGAAGGAATTGGAATCTACCATAAAGCAATACTTTGATGATGACAAGTTTAAAATATTCCATGATTCAGAAGAAAGAAATACAAATTTAAACTTAAAAACCAGTAGCAGTGAATGTAGAGCCTCATCGCCAAGCATAAATGACAGTCCTGATGAATTTGAACAGCTCAAGTCTAAGAGAGCTGAGGAAAGACTTCAAAGGAAGCATATAATTCTTACAATACCAAGTGTCAAAATATCTGAAACCGATCGAAAGTCGCAGATCTCTGAGAAAATGAATGCCTCATCTTCGCACCAATCTTTTCAACAAAGCCTTGACAATAGCTCAGAAAACACTGGAGAAACAAAAAAGAATATTTAAAAAATACTTTGTAATATTTTAAAAGAAAAATAAAAAATATTTTTGACGAGTAAATATATTATTTTTTTCAATTTGCATTTGAAGTTGTCATGACTGTAACCTATACCGCAGAAGTTGCAACATGCAAGAAATTCGGTTGCTTTGTAAAATTGCTGGCAAGGTAGGGAACAAGAGAGATGGGTGATGGGATGGTGAAATGAAAGAAATTAATCTAAGCCCTTTTAACTGCAGATGGAGAGGAAGCATTTACAAATTGGTCTGGATGGATTTGCTACTATTTCTCGCTTTATACTACGGCATTAATTTGATATATATTTATTTACTGGATAAAGATTCCCAGAAGTAAGTGGAGCTTGGAAAGTAGTGATATCTTTAATGGATTTGTGATTTTCCTCTTGAACAGGACCTTCGAAAGTGTGGTGTACTATTGTGCCAGTTACAGCAGCCTGATACCGCTCTCATTTGTTTTGGGTTTCTATGTCAATTTGGTGATGACCCGATGGTGGGAGCAGTACATAACCATCCCTTGGCCGGACTCGGTGGCAGTCTATGTCAGTGCCCATGTTCATGACCAGGACGAGCGCGGTCGTGTCATGCGTCGCACAGTCATGCGTTACGTCTGTCTATGTCTGACAACAGTCTTCACCATGATCTCGCCCTGTGTCAAGAAACGATTTCCGAAAATGAAACATTTGGTTGAGGCCGGCCTCCTGCTGGAGAATGAGAAGAAAATCATTGAGTCAATGGATGTGGCCTTTCCAAAGTATCCCAAACATTGGATGCCAATTATATGGGCGGCCAGTATAATTACAAGGGCACGCAACGAGGGTCTGATACGGGATGATTTTGCGGTTAAGACCATTATAGATGAACTGAATAGCTTCCGTGGTCGCTGTGGCACCCTTATGTACTATGACTTTATCAACATTCCCTTGGTCTATACGCAAGTTGTGACAATTGCCGTGTACTCGTTTTTCGTGTGCAGTCTTTTGGCCCATCAATGGACTGAGTTCAAGAAAAACACCTACGAGGGCTTGGACTTCTACATGCCACTCTTTATTACATTGCAGTTTTTCTTCTACATGGGCTGGCTAAAGGTGGCTGAAACATTGATTAATCCCTTTGGAGAAGACGATGATGATTTTGAGGTGATTTCCAAAGAATCTTAAATAATGGTGAAATTTTAATCCCCGTATTCTAGGTTAACTGGATGATTGATCGCAATTTGCAAGTGTCTTATTTGATCGTTGATGAAATGCACCATGAACATCCGGAGTTGGTGAAGGACCAGTACTGGGATGATGTCTATCCCAATGAGTTACCCTATGAATCAGAGGCCAAAAGAGAACAACATCCCGAGCATTCAACAGCCAAATATGATGTGGACGAATCCTTGGAACAGTCTTTTAATAAAATATCTCCGGTAAGTTTCTAATTTAATCGGTTTTAGCAGAGAAATTTAATATGAATATACCTTAGAGTGGGGAAACTGGATCTGCCATCCATTCTCTGGGTAGTATTGAAGGTGAGATTTTAAATACAGTGTTAGAAAAGCGTTCTTCGGAGCATCTCTTACAAGAAAATTCCTCCTCGGATGTGGAGAGTGTACAAAAAATCGTGTCTTATAGATCATCAGAGTTTTCGGAAAATATTTTATGGAAGAAGGACGAAAATGATGGTAAATCACAAATAACTTTAGATACTATTTCCGAAGATAAACGATTTGAACATGAGGAAAGCGAAATAATGGGTGAAGAAGAATCTTGCCAGGAGGAAGGAGAAGAAGTCCAGGATACATACGAAAGTGGTAAGTTAAGTAAAGTTATAATTTAAATTTATATTTGTTGACGTTAGGTCCCCTTTAAAGAGACTGAAGTTGATCCCTTTGAGCAGTTACGCCTGGAACGTCAACGGCAACGCATCCAGAGAATGCATGATTTTCTTCAACGTTATTTTGGTCCACATTTCAAAATTGAAATGCCACAGGTTATTCCAGATAATGGAACCTTAACGAAAAGTAGGAAGACATGTAGGAAGAGGACGAAGGAAGAATCCAACTCTGTGGAAAATAATACTTCAATGGAATCAAATTTGAGAGAAATTCTTGAGAACCTTCCTATTGGAGGAATGCAGATACCCAGTGATGTATCAATGCCATTCCTTGTTGATGCTGGAACTTCGCCAATGAGTTCGGCAAAAAGTTACTCCACAGCTGGTATTTTTGAATAGAATTCTTTGGAGACATACCTCCTTCTTATTGAATAGCGCAGCACTTTAATAATTTACCACACAATTTAATGTAATTCCTTGTATCTAGAATGAATTATTTAATTTTTATATTTATTGCTTTTAATAAACTAAAATGAATTACCCTATGAATCAGAGGCCAAAAGAGAACAACATCCCGAGCATTCAACAGCCAAATATGATGTGGACGAATCCTTGGAACAGTCTTTCAATAGAATATCTCCGGTAGGTTTCAAATTTAATCGGATTTGTCAGATAAATTTAATATGAATATACCTTAGAGTGGTGAACATGGATCTGCCATCCATTCTCTGGGTAGTATTGAAGGTGAGATTTTAAATACAGTGTTAGAAAAGCGTTCTTCGGAGCATCTCTTACAAGAAAATTCCTCCTCGGATGTGGAGAGTGTACAAAAAATCGTGTCTTATAGATCATCAGAGTTTTCGGAAAATATTTTATGGAAGAAGGACGAAAATGATGGTAAATCACAAATAACTTTAGATACTATTTCCGAAGATAAACGATTTGAACATGAGGAAAGCGAAATAATGGGTGAAGAAGAATCTTGCCAGGAGGAAGGAGAAGAAGTCCAGGATACATACGAAAGTGGTAAGTTAAGTAAAGTTATAATTTAAATTTATATTTGTTGACGTTAGGTCCCCTTTAAAGAGACTGAAGTTGATCCCTTTGAGCAGTTACGCCTGGAACGTCAACGGCAACGCATCCAGAGAATGCATGATTTTCTTCAACGTTATTTTGGTCCACATTTCAAAATTGAAATGCCACAGGTTATTCCAGATAATGGAACCTTAACAAAAAGTAGGAAGACATGTAGGAAGAGGACGAAGGAAGAATCCAACTCTGTGGAAAATAATACTTCAATGGAATCAAATTTGAGAGAAATTCTTGAGAACCTTCCTATTGGAGGAATGCAGATACCCAGTGATGTATCAATGCCATTCCTTGTTGATGCTGGAACTTCGCCAATGAGTTCGGCAAAAAGTTACTCCACAGCTGGTATTTCTGAATAGAATTCTTTGGAGACATACCTCCTTCTTATTGAATAGCGCAGCACTTTAATAATTTACCACACAATTTAATGTAATTCCTTGTATCTAGAATGAATTATTTAATTTTTATATTTATCACTTTTAATAAACTAAAATTGTGTTCCACATATTTCATGCCCCTACTTTTGACCAGGAAAATGAGAATTCCTTTGCGTAGACTTCAACACTGTCAAAGTGCAGTTCCCTTCCTCATGTGGTCATGGGGAGGAGTAGTACTTCCACTAGTGAAATAAATAACGGTTAATATCTTTGGGTCTTCCTTGGGTCTGGTGTTGCCAAAAACATTATTTTAGCTCTCCACGACCCCATAGCAGTGGCGTTCACATCCCCATCCATATAAACTGTTATGTTTTATAAGTATTGCAGATGATTCGTTGATAGGTTCCAGTGGAACCTAACCACACCAACCAAATGTGTGCACATTCATATATCATTGTTGCTGTGATTGTTGTTGTTGTTCTTGGGGAGAGTCTGTCTAAGGATATGAAAATATGAAATTGCTTTACACTCGAAAGCTCATTAAGTCGATTTATATGGCAAGCCATAAATTGTTGCAGCTAAATGTTCATCGTTTACAGTTATGCGAACGGCAACGACATTTACAGTTAACAATATAGGCACTGGAGGCAACACGAGATATATTTTGCCAGAGCCACATAAGGTCACTCATATGAAAAATTCTTATCAAATTTCCTTAGAAGTCAACCAAATAAATTTCATCACATTTTCCCACCCCGCAATCCCCATCATCAAAGGAAAGGAAAGAAAAAACACAACTGAATTTCCACAAAAAAATCCTGTTCTTGGAACTGCAAAACCATTTGTCAATTCTTCAAATCCTACTGAAAGTCAAATGATTTCCACATGCATTCAACAATGAGGGGAGTTTGTTTTTTTTTTTTTGGTTTTTTGAATTGCATGATAAATTTGATAAGAAATATGAAATATTGAAATGTAGAAAATGCTCATATGCGAATTGTAAATGTCATAAAGATTTGCAAGAGTTATTAAGAATAGACTGAGGAAAAATGAATGAAAATTGGAAATGATGTGATAATTTATTATGTTGAAAAAATGAAAAAATGTTGATTTAAATAGATATCAGAGAAGAAAAAATGTGTTGATTAAAAAAATCATGGAAATGGAAAAATGAATTTCATATACTAACATATTGTACTCAAAAGGGTCTAGATTGATAACTTGGCGCCCAACTTGAAAATTAATTTGTGAATATGCCTTTCTTATAATAGCAAAATATTATCCAATTGTTATCACCACTATTCGCTGTTTTTCTGTAGGCATGTGTATTCCTGTCACAAGTACAACTTTAGTTTTTCGGTGGAAAATCAATGATCCTCATTACTTAAAACCCTTTTTGAAGTCAAATATATTCTTATGAGGTTGTCGTGCATCAATCGAAGCGAATATCAGTCCGGAAGGGCAATACTGTCCAAGAAGAGAGAGGCGAACATTATTCCTATGCATATTCATGCCAAAACGACATACTTTTTTGATAATCGACATATTTGGTCTGTTCCAGAGCTGCCTGATTTTCCCTTTATGATATCCGAGAAAAGATTCTTGCAGACTCTGGAATATTCCCATTGCCAATTTTTTTCAAAATTGACAATATATACCCTTAAGGCCGAAACTGTTCTACCTCCTCATTGTATCATAATAATAATGTATACTTATTTTAATTAATACTCTTTTTAAACGTCTCTACTAAACTTCAAAAATATTTAAAATAATCGTTTATATTGTACATATTTAGTTAAGTACCTAATTTTTATGGTGCGTACCGTGTAGAATTTTCATGCGATTTACATGCATTAAAGTCACATACTAACACAATGAAGCTCATTGGTAATTATACTCTCATACTCACACACATGTACAACACAAATGTCTTCCTCTGAGATGCGTATTATTATTGTTATTTAACGCGTCGCAGAGTTTTCTTATTGTTTTTATGGAAATTACCATGCCAGCCAAGCGATACCACCCATGCCGTTGGCCCAAACACACCATGTTTGACTCCAGACATTCTGTCAAAGTCACGCGAGACATTGACATTGGGTTGTGCCGTGGAAGGAAGACGAAAACAACTCAAGGATATATTGGCATTAAATAGTAAAATATTTCCAGCCTAATGTATTACATTCACATCCATATGTATACATGTGAGTATATGTTCCGGCATTCCATCTACATACATATAAATATAAAATAATAATGACTTAACTCTCAGGAGAAATCTATCATGCAAAGCCAATGACAACAACACACCGCTGCCATCATAAAAACATGGGACAAAGAAGCCAAACAAAAGCAAAATTAAAATCAAAATAATGGCATAAAAATGAATTATCCGCTTTTTCTGGTAGATTTTTTTTTGGGGGGGAATTCCATTAGCATGTGTGAGTGTGTCGACCCGGAAATGTTTTCCCAAATTCCTTTGCCATTATGTCAATTATGTGCGAGACACGAACTGAATGATGTATGCCCTGGCTCCCTTGGCCCAAGGCACAGTTGGCCGCCACCACACTGTCATATTTACTCACATATATCCATCCATTACTATGCCCTCGCCACCGCCTTTGTGGGTACGACACATAATAAATGGCAAAAACTGAAAACTAATTAAAAAATAAATTCGCAAAAAAAAACGACTACAAGTCTGGACCACATTTACAAGACCACTGATGTTAATTTTTTTTATAAAATATTTCTGGAAATTGTTGCGGTTTTATTCAATAAAAATTTTACTGTATTGCTTGAAATTAGTAACATTTAATTGCGAGCACACACGCACAAAGAAACTCGCACACACACACACACTCAAACATACACTGGCAGTTACGCATATTTGCGTACAACAAATAAATTGATTGCCAATTAAACAAAAAATTGCCGTTAGTGAGATTCTCTCTAAATAAAATTCAAATTCCAATAAATTCGTTTTAGTAAAACAACGACGATAACGAATTTTCTTTGATTGCATGTAATTTAGTTGCGATGTAACCAACCAATTGTTTTTAATGAAACATTTGACCAATTTGGGTTTTTTGTTGTTTCGTGAAATGTCTACACTGGTGATGATTGGAATAGAGGCAGGACGTTTTTTTGAAGTTTTTGGTGTGATTATAAATTTTGTGGAGGGACGGACAGATACAAAAGATATTTTAGATCCCGAGAAGCCAGGGTGATTTTTTTTGCAAGATTTGACTGAAATCTTTGAATTCCCAAAAATTGCGGCAGAAATTCATTCTCAATGAACCTTTTCGCAGAGAAAGTTATAGCCATATTGAAGATATGCTTGGAATAGAAGTACTCAAAATATTATGGTCCCCCAAGGATTTTTACCTATAATAAATGTTGTCGAAAAGAGTAAACTTTTCTGCTACAAATTCAAAATTGACATTCTTTAAAATACCGAGAATCAGAATGTACCCTACATGCATAAATAATATAAATTAATTTTGACTTGCATGACTCTTTAAGAGGAATATAGCGAAATAATGAACCATTTTCTAAAATTATTATTTTTTTTTTTTTAATTTAAGAATCTATAACTGGAAAAAAATATTTCGATCTACAAACTTTATAGAAAATAAGACACTTCATTTAAATTTTAAGTGAGTAATTGTCAATCAAAATATTGTCTACTTGTGTTTGTGGAGTAGACGGATAAGCGCCATTTCACATTTTTTGGGAGTTATTCAATATTGTGACCCGATGTGGTTGAAGATCCAGAAGGAGTATATAGATCTAGTCAAATTGGACATCTGGCATAAGATTGATTCAAATATTCAGATGAGCGTAAACGAAATCGGATACATCCCTTTTTTGTAAGATAAATCATTTCCTTTAAAACCTTGTAGGGGACGAACCGACATTCCCATCACCAAACTCAATATAAGGTTGTTGAAAATATTGCGATTAACTAAATTGGGACGAAATTCGAAACTCCCTCTTGAGCTCGCAGATAGACCGGCGTGTATGGGTAGATCGACTCCAAAATTTCTGAAACGAATATCTTCCACATATTTTGTCCCTATCAAATGGTTCATTTACTCCGTGGCCACATGGAGTATTCAAATTTCCCGAAACTTTGTTTTGATTTATTCACTTTTAAGGTCAGACATATTTTATCAACTCTCAGGGTATGGCCAATTACAATGGCAGTCATTACGCAGTACATACTCAACCGCATCATGGAAGTGCAAAATACCAATGCTCAGATTACAGCATCACTTGCAAATGAACTGACCGGTCTACTGGCCGGCCGACATACAGGCGACTGACGGACACGCCAACTATGCACATACATACATACATGCATGCATACAAAGTCAATACGGAAATGTTAAAACGAAGTTATGTATTTGATTGGATTGATTATATTTTTGCCTGAATAAATTTAAACATAATTGCCAATTAACACTTTTTCGACGTAATGCTTTGATGATTGATGACAAACGCCCGCACTCACACACACACACACACACAGAGACATGGTTATACAATGGCATTTGGAGGAATAAGTGTATCACATTGCCGGTTGCCATTGCCGCAAGTGTAGCAGAGTTATTGCCAATTTAAACATGTTAACCCAACAGAGAACAACAACAACAGCAGCAGCAGCAACAACATCAGTCAATCATGCAACAAACATTGGCCACAATGTGCACGTTTTTATTCTGATGAACTGAACTTTCTCTCTTAGCAACCATGCCAATGTCAACGTCAATCCACCACCACCGTTTGCAACACACACATATAAATGCACACAAGCGAACAGCAGCATCCCCAGTCCAGAAATCACTGCTTCAATGGTCGCCTACGAATCGGTGTTGGTAGTGGTGGTCGGAGGTCGTTTTGACCAAATGAGTACTGCTTGCTGGCTCATAAAGACCTGCCGAACACATCAAATCATATTTGGATCGCACGGCAGGGTATCGTCAACACGGCGCTCTGGATTTCACACTGACCGCTTGACTGATTGCCGACGACCAAAGCGACCCGGGAGCATGTCCACTGTTGAAGTCCAAATTGGCAAAAATTATTGAAGCATCGATATATGACATTTAACAAACGCTTTTATGTCAAAATATGTGCACACACATGTATGTGTGTATGTATTTGTTTGTATGTTGGACGAATATATTTTCATTGAGCATTTCAGCCATTGTCCAAAGTAGTGTTGGTTTTGTGTTGTTGTTGCTGCTGCTGCTACTGATGGTGTTGAAACCAATCATTGTTGTTTATAACGTTTAATTAAATGAATATTCAAATAGAACGATAGGTTAATTGCAAGCATTCGCGCGTATGTGTGTGTGTGTGCGGGTTGGTGTATGAGTGGATAGCTTTGCTTGTAGCGCACACTAAAAACAAATGAACCAAAGAAGAGGGCAAAAAAAAAAACACAACTCAAAAAGGAAAAAAAAAAAATACAAGAGAATTATCTACAATATGCTTTGATTGAACAACATCTGCAGTGCCCATAATACAATTTTTAGCTTTAATTGAAAACTAAGAATATGAAAAACGATATCGAGTAATTGGCTTCACATTCACATTAAAGGAGCAAATTTAATCAACCCCCCTTGATGTAACATATGGCAAATGTGTGTGTGCCGGGTAGATTGAGATATGCGAACGAATTATTTCAAAGGAGAGTTTTTACCACCTTTTTATACCCGCATAGTTACAGATATTATATATCTCTATATGGGCAAAATGTGCCCCCTTTGAATGAATGGTGGACAAAATATATTTCAGGAAATAACTCTAAAAAAGGGATATCCTTATTGGACCAAATTTGGTACATTTTACCAAAGTAAGACCGGGTTCGGAAATGGACATATCAGTCTACTTTTTTGGCAACCCTCTCATAAATGTTAACAATTTTATTGAACAAAATCATCAATAAATAAATGCAAATCCTATAGGACATTGGTCGGGTGAGAAAAATTTTGAATAATAAGAACTCTCGTAACATGTATAATCGACGTCCGATTTTCTCCAAATTTAACACCGCCCAATATTTTGAGCTGTGTTTGAGCAAGTGTGAAAATCAAATATATCAGTCCATTATTTCTGGTACCTCTTCCACAAAAGTATAAAAAAAATTTATCTTGAGTGGTGGTAGTATACGATGTATTAAAAAATTTGCAGATCGTAAGACTTACATGAGTCATAAGTAAGATTGAAAAATGAACACCCATTCCTGTACTTGCGACACAAGAGCTCAAAAGTATAAATGGAAATTTCCCTCTTAAAGTGAGAAATCAATATCTGATTTCTTTAATGTTTACACATCTCAATATTTCTAGTGTGAAAATGGAATATATAGGGCCACTATGTTTGGTATCTCACCACAAAAGTCAAAAAATGTTCTAGAAAAATGTCATAAGTTTATTTAAAATATATATGGTTCGTGGTTATTTGTGTATCAAACTTTGGTCAGATGCGATCATGGAGAATTGGCGTTCTCCTCTCATAGTACATTAGCGTCCTCCACATTGTGCCGCAACCATCCTCGTTAAATGACCTCCATTTGTTCTTATTACTCTTACATTTATATCGCAACGTATGTACTGGTTTCAATTGCGTTAATATAGTATTAAATTCATTAATTTGCTCTGATGAAAATATGTACAACAAACAAAGTTCTACAATCAAATAAATAAACAAAAAAAACTGTTCAGCTCTCTCTCTGCTCCAATTATTCACAATTCAACAGCGAAATGCTGGTAGCTGCCACTAATCAACAACAGCAACAACTAGGCCATACTACGAAAAAGTGCTAAACTTTTCGCATTCGCGGCCGACCATTGGTGGGGTGTAGGGCGACAGAGAGGCAAAGTAAACCCGGGGACTGACTTTATAACCCCATTATTGCAAAACTCTTCCAGCTTACTGGGGCTTAGCACAATTGCTAAATAGCACACTATCCCCAGCTTATATAATACGACCCATTTAACCCTTGAGGCATAGATGTAAAAACTTTCTTATTATACTGCAGCATTCATTTGAAATCGCAACAATAAAAAAGCGAATCCTCGGCTAAATTGCGGAAGTTATGAAAATATTTTCAGCTGGCAACAACATTACTGAATGAACTAAGCAACCGCATAGCATCCGCTGAAAAGTTAACGGATAATACAGTACAACAACGACAGCAGCAACAACAACAACATCCCCATCGACAGAGGATTTAAAAATGTTGCTGGCATAAGTCAAAAGATGATATCGCTGGACCTCGCCGAATAAAACGTAAACGAAAAAAAAAAAAGAATAAACGCAACACAAGGCAAATGCAATATTCGGAATAAGAATCATTCGAAAGAAAGCAGCCATCTCCGACACCAGCACCACCATCACCGTTGCAACTGCATTAATGCACAGACTGACTATCTAATGCCGCAGCCCCGGCACACGCGAATTCTCAATGCGTATATAGGTGGCAATGTGCAGAGGAAGCAGCCGCAACTTACCGCTGCAGTAGTATGGCCATAATATGAAATTGTGGCAATCGCTGGAAAGTTTGTGAATCGTAAATGGCTTGTGCTGACAAAAATCGTCCCCATGGAGTCGTTGTACTTTTAACATTTCGCCTCTGTCGGAAGTCCGTGTCTGTGTCGTTCTGTGCACAGCGCGTATTGTCATTTTCGTCGTTTACATTTTGTCTAAATGTTCCTGTCGCAGCAACAGCAGCGGCAGCAGTCACGTGTGGAGCAAGAGAGCGGTGGTGCGATGGAAAAGAGATAGCAAAAGTTGCGTACCAGTATTGCCTGAAACTGGAAGGCTAGGAACAACTTACACGCGGGAAATCTAAATTCAAATTAATATCGCCAAAAGAAAATAAAAATTACTTTAAATGACTTTAGTTGTGTTTCTTTTATTTTTTCATTCACTGCCCCAATGCGAAACCATATTTTTTCCTGTGGGATACTGCTGGCTTCGTTTCTTCGTTGCCATACTGGGTTTTGTGCATCGTCTTGGGGTTATTGGAGTTCTGTTGTTATCTTCGGTTTCCGCATAAGTTGGAAATGTTTTTTGGAATATTCGAAGATTGTTATTGCAACAATACATTCCACATAAAGATACAATTTTAATAAAATGGAAAATATATGCAAACATGTTAACAAGAGAATTTATATTATTACAAAAGGAACGATTTTTAAACTATTTCGGGATTCTGGAGCCACTGTCCTTTCACGAAAACCTTTACGTTTTTGCTGATCACATTGTGTTCGAATAATCCCTAAATTAAACAAGACAACTGCCAACAAGCGTAATAACCTTATTGGCTTTTCGTGGAAGTTTTATGCTTCCAACTTCCAACAACAAAGTCCACTAAATCTCAACACAAATGATGCATTACTTTAAGACGCATTAATATCAATTGCTATTTCCATCCGAATTGCCATTAAACCAGTACGGCAAACAATAACGAAGAGACTTTGTCCTTCTTTTTCGGCTGTTGTTGGTGGCTGGTTGGTCGGTTGGTTGCTAACCAATACAACTAGAGCATGTATCGATGCCTTATTAGTAGCTGCTAAGGCTGCGTTGCTCCGGATTGTGTGCTTATTTTTGAATTCAAGCCAAATTTACACACGAATGATGACAGCTTTGAGAACTCATAAAATAATGAAAATATCCGATGGCAAACTTTATGATTTGCCATGAAAAATTACCTTAGGACAAAGTTTTTGGGGCAGAGAAAAGTTTATCATTGTGCAGGGAGAACATAAAAGATATTGCTGCTCTTGTCAGCCAGGCAGGCAGACAGGCCAGTTGAATGGTGGTGGCGGACAAACGCAGCATAACTCCAAGCTCAAAGGCAACGCGACGGCAATCTGTGACACTTAACATGTGTTTTTCACGTTTAACTTTTCTCTGGCATTTTCCTCAGTAAATTAGGTGCAAAACAACGACACCAAAAATAAACAAAAATGAATTTTACGACCGTGCTGGGCACAGTACGGCAAGTTGTGATTTAAGAGACACACACGCAAGTAATATAGGAAAAATAAGTGAATGAACCGGGTCATTTTTGGCTGGTGGAAAATTTGGAACCCTTCCGCATGAGAGATATAAAACACAGGTCCATTACGATAAATTCCGAATTTAACTAAAACCAAGACATAAACAGCACATTTAACATAGACGACAACAGAGAAATGTTAACGTTAACAAGGGCATATTGACCAATGGAATTATCCTGTTCAAAGGATTTCCGCAGAAATGGATACATACCTCCGAATCGATCAGAACTTCCTATTCTTTTCATGATGCCAATGGACGGTTCATACGCTTCATAAGGCTTCCATTGGTACCCATATTGGACCGACTGAATTGTACTGGAAGGGATGGTGTGTTGTAAGATTGTCCTGCCCCATAAGATTATGATACGAGTTAATGGGTGTTTGGTGCCTTACAATTTTTGAGCATTTATTAATAATGACTAAGCAATTCGTTTCATTATCCTTTCTGTATGAAAAAAAAAAGTATAAGTACTTTTATGTAGCTCTGTTAACGTTAACATTGCTCTGTTATCTTCTATGTTAAATGTGTGGTTAGTGTCTTGTCTAAACATTATTAAAATTCGCACGTATCTTAGTCGAAAAATCTTACAATCTACCATTAGAGGTTTCTTCTAGAATGGTCCAATTTCGGTTCTTATGAAATGGACGAAACAGTTTTGAAGATTTTCTATCGATTTCGAAAATATTTTTCATTTACTGAGTATCCACAGAAATATAATTATTGAAATATGTTTCTACAAAAAGTCATTTTATCGGTTAGACACCTTCTAACAGTTGTCAAAATTTCAAAATTGAGTAACCATTTTTTCCAACTCAGTTTTTTGAGTTCTGGGAATAAAAATTGTCAAAAACTTTTATAAATTCAGTAACATTTCCTACAAAATTTCATTTCCGAAGACATGCAATTAACCGGGCAAGTATCCAGTCGCGCCTTGCACAGCCATGTTGATATACAAATATATTGAAATCTGCATTTGAATTGATGATTTATAACATATATTATCGGAAATCGATGTAGCAATACCTTTGAAATCTCTCTGAGCTTTACAACTCAAGTTCTCCCCCCCGAACACTGTGAGCATTAAATCATTTCGACTCCAGGCAAATGCTGTTAAAATAAATTCCCCCGTTCAAACCAACTGGAACACATTGTCATTGTCAACTCGCCATGGACTTCTCTGTCGGCTGCAGCAGGTGAGTAGCTCTGCCTTTGTGAATTTTTTGAGTGTTGTGTGGGTGGGCGTGTGTTCGTTCGAATAAAATGGACAACAAAATACCAAGAACGCATTCAACAGCTAAGGCATTCAACATTAATTGTAAGCATGCCTTCCCCCCTCCCTGCCTCCAACCAGTTTAGAGTGCGAACATTTATTTCGGGCAACATAACAATTTAAATGCCAACGATGAGCGTAAATCACAGTTGTCAACATGTTTGCTGCGATTAAGTGCTCCGAACTGCAAAGGCATCGCGTTATCCATGGCCGTCCAAGGAAGATAAAGAAGACCAACCTTAATTCGTTTACTACACAAAAGAATAATTCAAACTGGAAATGGAATGTAAATTAAATACCGAAATCCAGTCGCCAAGGATATTATTTTCTTAGCCAGGCTCGCATGCCTTTGAATTTAATTTATCATCATTAGTTGTTTAATCTTTTGGTTAACAAATCGAATCCCATATCACTCATCATTAGGGTGTGTAACATTTCACCTAGACGATATCCTTACACATTTGAGTAAATATACCCACAAAATATAAGCTCCTTAGTAAATGGTACATAAATGTGTACTTACACATCCATGGCCCATTTACATATTGTCATCTGCCCGTAGCCACCATCCACGACGATAATCTCTTTATTTACTTGCAAATCGACTTGAAAGGAACCCAACATGGCTGCCTTCCCGTTCGAGACCAGCCATTGGCATTAGTTCTGCCATACACTGTCTTATGACGACGTTTAGTAGCCCAACTAATAAAGGAGTCACCGGCAAATTACACACTGGGGACAAGCTTTGTCCTTTACTACAATAGATAGTCGTGGGTTAGGGGGCACACTGAAAATTCGAAGAACGAGAAATTTTTATAAGAAATTCGATAACTGGAACCTAACAGCAGAGTAGAAAAATATAACTAAACATATAAAATAAATATGACCAGATTCGAAGTATTACATACCCAATAACAACTTCTATTACCGAATAGTGTTTTTCTTTAACAATTTTTAGAAATCGTAACTACTTACAAATCAACATACTCATCCATTATTTTTTTAACAAAGGTATTTCGCCCAAATTTGCTTTATGTTTATAACAAATTGTTTTTTTTTTTTTTTTGTAGTTTGTTTTCAATACCTTTAAATTTGTTAATCGGCTCATATATTTCCAAGTTTTTTACTGGGCAGTATTACCCCATAGTACCAAGGGTTTCGTGGAATTTGTAATCCAAAGCATTAATTTTTTGATCCCCAGATGCATAGAGAGGGAATTAATTTTTTTTCAGATGTAATGAAACTTCACTCTGGATTAGAGAATAAATATTAAAAATTTCGGATTACACAATAGTACAATTTGTACGGAATAACAATTCTTTCACACAACTGCCAACTGTACCGAACATTTCTCTCAGTGCATTGCCCTTTTGCCGCAACTTTTTCCTATTTCGTTGAAAATGAAATTTCTTAGTTCCTCCTTCGACGGATAACCAACAAAAATCACCAAATTTGCGGTAGCCAGTCCTGGTTTAGCTGTCAGCACATTTTTAGTTGTTGTTGAAGTGTTTATCAGCAACCGACGAAAAAAAGAAAATAACACAAACTCTCACTTGGACATGGACCCACACCCGCTTCTGGCCAGTTGTCACTGGTTGGGCGTCCGAAAGTCTGCCAAGAATGTGGTAAATGTTAATCAAGAATTACTTGTGTTATTTTATGGAGCATTCTTGTGGGTTCGTTCCGAAATTCTTTGTTGTCGTCAACGTCATCATCATCATCGTCATCACAGCCGTCTGTCGCTGTAGTGGTTGCCGGTTTAGTGTCTCTTTTACGTTAATTATGTCCTAAAATAAAATAGCCTCAACGATAACGCATCCGATAATGTCTTCCAATTATTTTTCCGTTGTTTTTCCTTTCATTTGCGGAGATAGTAATAAATTCAGTTGTTTTCGCTGTTTTTTTTTTCGTTTGCCGCTCTGTTCATTTGAAGTTGAATAAAACTTTTTATCATTTGTTTTTTCCAAATGGACTTGGTCCGTTTCACAAGGATTATCTCTGCTAAGTTTAATGGCGCTTATATCCATTGTTTGCTAAATTAGAATGATTTTTTCAATTGCCATTGTCGGTTGTGTGTGTGTGTGTGTATTTTTTGGGGGGATGAAAGGGTGGGAAATAAAAAGCTCAGGAAAAAACAAAACTGCCGGAAATACCTCTAGAAGCAGTTACAGGGAAAAGACATACTCCAAAACACAGCCCTCCACCACCACCATCAAAATTTACAACCTAATTATGTGACAGCCTATTATCAAGTCAACAAATGTACAATGGAAGAAGTTTTTGTCTCCGCATTTGCTTTTTTGCGGCCGATTCGAGCTGGCTTCTCGTTAACAACCACCTTGCCTAGAGCTGATTATGACAAAGCACTTTTTTCAAATTCCCAAACGATTAAATTAGCTGGAAACCCAAAAGTCCAGGCAGTCAGTGTTGTAATAACGAGCATGGCGTAGAGAGCGAACAGTACACAGTAAAACGCTGCTGGCCCAGAGAGCCAATCATGATGACACTATTGTACGCTAGTTTCCGAATGAATGCCTGGACGAATGAATAAATGAATGGTCGCTTTGCTGAACAGTTTATTTACTTGGCGGTTGGCTCTGTTGACTGCGGTCTAAAATTTGTATTTGTTCTAGTTTCATTTTCGTTATAATTATGACACATTAGCTTCGTGCGAGCATCAACGTTAACAGGGCAAATTAAAAAGGGACAAGCAAATTATTAATGTCAGTTGCTTTAGGATGCCTTTTTGCTTTGCTCCGCCAGGAACCCCCAGTCCTTGCCGCGGGCAATCAAATGCTGTAGCAGCTGTACCATACGCTCCCGCTTCAATTATACACCTCGTTATTCATTTAATTTCTCCACAGTCAGGCCACCACACATTTGGTCGAGGGGACAAATTAAGGTTTGTTATATTTTGTGGGTACACCGCACTCACACAGATCCCCCCTCTCTCTCTCACACACATACATAGAGACATTGCTGCTGTTAGCTTAACAATAAATTGCTGTAATTAATTTTTATTTAACACTGTAAAATGCTAATTTTTACAATTTGAAATTGGCTTAACATGTAAATTATTACAATGGTTTACAGCGAGGGAGAGAGGGAGAGAGAGAAAAATGACACACTACATCACACCGCACAATTGTCAAATGCGTGGGAGGATGAATTACAACCAGCAACTCGAACTAAATTCGAAACGTCACAGCGCATAATTAATGTGAGTTTGTGGAATAGTAAAAAAGCTCAAATTCTACATCACAAATACTGCTGCAGTCATTAATTTAAAGAAAACGGTAAATGATATTCCGTTGAAATAATCAAAAATATTGATTGGAAATTGAACTTGTTTCTCCATTAAAAGCAAGTGGGAATCGGTTAGTCGTGGGGTTCAAAGTATTTTTAGTACTTAAATTAAATGGATATAAAATAGTTAGGAATTTAAACGTTAATTTGTATTTCTAGCATCACTAGCTCAGTAGAGAAAATTCTTTATTTTTAAGAGCCAATGAAATTTTAAACTTCATTACATTAGAATGACTGAAATTTTCCAAACTACGAAATTTTGGTGCCTACATTTTTACATTTTCAAATTGCTTTAGTAAATGATAAGCTGCTGTAAACCTTGATTTATGCCCGAAGGAAATAACCGCCTTGAACCAGGGGAAACTGGGTCCATTGAGAAAGGCTGAAGCCAGGTGAGGAAGATAACAAATGCGAACTAGCACTAGCATATCGGAGGGTTAAATTTGGAAACTTTCACTCGACCATTAGAAATCTTCTACTTATTAAAGAAATATTAAGACCCGTCAAAATGGCACTTTGGAAATTGCAGCAGGATGCCTCCTCATGGCATTAATATACAGGGTGAGATGAAGAAACTGCAACCAATTTCAGACTGCTGCTATTTCTAAGCTACTCGTCTGGCAGCTGTTAAAATTATTCCAGTGACAGCTCATTATATTGTTTACAAGGGCACAAAACCATTTTGGGAAGAATTTTCCAGAAAAAAAGTTTTTCGTGATGGAATTCAAGCGTGATAGTGTGATTCCTTTATGTTTGGCTGGAAAACCACAAGTGGCTATCGTTAGAGCACTTCAGCATTTAAATGTGAATAAATCTTTTGTGTCTCGTACCATCGCTTGTTTCCCTAATACTGGTAGCGTAGCCCGCCGTCTAGGAAGTGGATGGATGAAAACAGCAACATCAGCAGAAATGGTTCGAAACGTAAAAAAGCGACTTGATCGTGTCGCAGTGGCCGAAAAATGGCTCGTGAGCTGAACATATCGTATAATTCCATTCGGCAAATTTTGAAAAATGAGCTCGGGGTAAAGCCATCGAATTTCCAAAAAGTGCAAGAACTTACACTGCAACAGAAAGAAAATACACTCAAAAGAGCTAAAGAGTAGTTTGGCTTGGTCGAAGGTGGTTAATTTGGTTTTCTTTTTGGAGATGATCGCCATATATTTAGGGGTTGAAATGGACCAAAAAACTGCAAAATTTGTCAGCAGGTCGTAATTATTGCCCGATCCTCAGGCACATTTGAATGGGGGTTACCGGACATTGCAAAAGCCAAGCAGTTTTGGATGGTCACCCAAAAATATTCAATGTGAGAAATAGTTTGCCAACTTTTGTAGACAAAATACGAAAATGTCCATTCCAGTGACTTTTTGGAGAATTCACAAATACTGGAAAGACGCACTTCTGACTATTTCGTTACGCTGATTTCGTTGAAGAATATAGTCAAATGTCTGTATCTCATATAGATGCGTTTCAGTAAAAAACCAATAATAAATGTTAATCTTTTGCCACTTCTGAGAGATTATAGGTCTTTGGGAAATATTGGTTCCAGATCTTGGAATACCATTTACGTGCAACATCTACCAATAAATTGGAAATGAGCAAATTAGTTTAAGTTGGTAT